GGCACACCTCATCCTCCAACCCCTGCTGTCCAAATAGTATTTAATACTTATATTTTCCTTGTTAACATGACAATAATAATTGGTTAGAAAAGCAGGCTGTTTATAAGCCCACAAACTAAGAAACAGAGATAGCCCTTGTTCATTTGGCTGCGCCCCATCTGGGGTATATGGATACTGTCACTGGAAATTAAAGTTGATGTCACAATATCAATTTATATGGTGATATAGTAAACATTTTGGAAATCTCTAATGGCTGACAATCTATGATTATCTTTATGCCTTATCTATCATCATTGACTAACCCAAGCCCAACCGTGCCCTTGGTTACGAGCATCTTCCCCTATCTTCACAGGACTGGCAATCTGTTAAAGGTGAAATGACTGACGGACACATCTTTAATCAGGGCCATCAACTGGCCTGAGGATTTGGTGAGCACTCAGGCTTTATCTCTAAACTGGGCTAGATAAAATGAGCACAAAGTCACTGGAAATCGTTAAAGGGTTGAGACCAGAGGAAGAAAAAACACAGATGGGGAAAAAAAACACCCTGTCAGGCTGACCCCTAGATTGTGGATTCAATGGAATGAGAGACAGAGGAAAAAGCAGGGGGCTACAGAAGAGTAACTAACAGCTGGGCTGCCTCCCCCTTAAAGAAGAGGAAAAAACTGGCTCTAGTCTGGCAGCCAGGAGAGGGAAGCAAGGGATGAGCGAGGATGAAAGGAGGAGTGTGAGATATGAAGTCAGTGATGAAAGGTGGGTGGCTGATGGAAGATGAGTGGATGGGGAACAGGGTGGGTAGTGTGTGTGTGTGTGGGGGGGGGGTTACCAGCTTGCGAGGGGAAACTTCTGTTCATTGACTCTGAAACAAGCCGTCACACAAGAGAGAAAAGGAATGGATGGGAAACAGAGAAACAGAGACAGGGAGCAGTGTAGAGTGAAGGAGGAGTGAGGGAGGAGTGAGGGAGGGAGGAGGCAAGCCACATTGCACATCTTCAGGCTGTGAATAATTTAGAGGAGCACTGGGGAGACGAGACGAAGATGAACACAAAACACTGGCAGCGTTTGACCTAGAGCTGCAGCTACATCAGTGCACATCACAGAGCGGAGAGCTCTCTCCCGCTCTCCCTCTTCCTCCCCTCCCTCTCTCTTTTGCTCTTCTTCTGCCTCCCTCTGTGTCAAGGAGGAAACAGCTGTACGCTATTCTTGTTTCGCCTCACATTCCATGAAACTCAACAGAATGGCTGACAACTCCGTTTCACAAGGATCTCTCTTTCTCCCAGCCTGCTCTGGGCACATCAGACGAGCTGGAGGAGCCTTGCAGAGAGTGGATGTGTGTAATTCCAGGTGATATTGGACAGATACGTCAGATACACGTCTGTCTGCACATCCACTGATACGAGCAGGACTTTAAATGACATCACAATGCACGAAAAGAAACATCTTAGAAAATATTAAACATGAGTTTAGCCACTTTGCTGCCATGACATCAGTAATTATCAGTGTCAGCTTAACACTCTGCTGATGTTAAAACAATTACTTTTAGCTATTAATTGAGCTTAATCAAGCAAAATGTCTTATATTCACTTTCAGCCTCTTAAATGGGAGAAAACACTAATCAACAGATTATTTTATCAAAGCTCAGACAGATTATTCACTTCATTAATCTGACTTTAAAAATTAAAATAAATGAAATACATAAAATAGTAGGAATGTAAAAAGTGTGTATGTAATATCAACCAACCAGTACGTGACATTACTTTCCCATATCAATAAACCGATGTCAGGAGACATAATGCAGTGTGAAGTGAGGGACAGAGCTGTGAGCAGCCAAGCAGTGCACACTGCGGACAGCAGCAGTAAATAATAGCTGCCCTGTGATTAGGCACAGAAGAGGTTAAACAGAGCTTGTTCACGCCGCCTTTGTCAAGGTGCCATGAATCATCTGACCTACTGAAGTGTGTGTGACTGTGTGTGTGTGTGTGTGATGAAAGGACCACTGGGCATCTGTGGTGGGAGTGACAGTTGGGCGGACAGAGGGCGGTCTGATCAACCCAGAAGGGAGGGGCCATTTATTACTGTAATTAAGGAACCGTGGGGGAACCGTGGGAGGAGGGGAGCGCAGAATGTAAATGGACACTGATCCGCACGCCTAGTAAATCTTTTTTGGATAGACGTGATCGTATCATGAGTACGGAGAAGTGGTGTAGAGAAGAGGACTACAGATGGAGACCAAACAAAACACGAGATACCTTGGTTTTCTCTCTGTTTGCTCGCCCCCTCCTTCCCTCTCACTCTCTCTCTCACCATCTCCTGCTTGGTCTGCGTGGCTGATATTAATGGGACGTCCCTTGTTTGTAAATGTGCCAAGTTGTGTGCACCACTGCGGGCTGTCTATTATAGCAGGCCTCTGGGGCAGCTTTTCCATATGGCATCACATATGGCACTCAGCAGCATCAATTAATGTTGTTATAATACTGATTTTTATGAGCTCGGGTTCCACTCCTTCCCTCTCTTCGCTACCCCTGCAACCCCCCCCACTGTCGCTGATTCTTTTGATTCTTTAAAATGCCTCTCTTCGATTCCCGAAACCTTCGACAACCTGGCTTCTGAACGGTGGAGGATCTAAAAAATGTTTTCCTGTGCCAAATTCTGAGAGCTCCTAGCAGCTCCACTGAACCCCACTCAAAGACCTTCAGAACGACTTTGTTCCTGCTATGCCGCAGAAGAAAAGGGAACGCTATTGCCAGCGTGTCAGAATCTTTGCATCTTCTGTGAAGCCGAGAGACAGTGAAATATGAAAGAACAGGTGAGAGACAAAAACAGCCATTACACAGACTGAAGACTATGTTAGATAATGTAACATATTTGCAATCAAACAAATTTTATCGCCCCGATTGTACTTTTGGTCACATTAGCCCAGCGACCGGGCCTATTAGCGTGTTAAATTAGGCCTGAATTTATGCACAAAACAATAGGCAGATGGATGTAAGAACAGAATCTGAGGGGCCTGGTGCCTTTGGTGGTGGATGTGACAGCAAGGGAACAAGAGCGTAGCAAAAAGCCCTGCTTAAAAAGCTCCCAGCCACACCAGCCTTGTCAGCGTTGCCACAATTAGAGACTAGATCACTGGCGCTTCCCAGCGAGAAACATCTCACCACCACTCCTCAATGGAACTCTTTTGTTTGAGGAACACACTCAAAGCAGGGTTTTAAAACGTTTCGGATGGCTAATCACTCTCAGGATGAAAGGCCCTGGCGTGTTCGTTTGTCTCAGCGTGGGGAGCTTCCCTTGCCGTTTCTCTGTCTCTGATTCTGACTGTTTTTGTTCGTTTCTTTTTCAGCAGGCAGGCGAGGCAGGCGAGCTGGCAGGCAGCGCTGTTTGAAGGTGCAGTCAGACCTGAGTGCAGGCCTGATGCTTTGTAGTGATATTTCCAGCAGCACAATCTCATTACTTTTTGACGTGGGAGATGCGTGCAGGGGCGGATTGTCATTTCACGCTGTCAAAAGTTCCGTGAGGGAACGGAGACGGGAATGGAACTTCAATGACCTGCGTGCCTCTGGCTCATCAAGACTGAATATATTAAACCAAATAACACAGATAAAATCCAGTGAACCAGATCCTTGAAGATTCGTGTAAACTTAATGTCCAGTCCCCAGGGGTGCTGAAGGAATTTCTCACCTTATCTATAATCCACAATCGGATCTGTTTCACAGCCTCCAAAACCTGTCGCTGTACATCCCCTGAACCTAATTAATCTACATACATATATACACAAACAGGCCTTTGTGCCTTCAGAGGAAAGGTCGTGAGGGAAGCATCCCACACCTCTCAGAGATGGTGAGAGCTCCTGGACGTTTTCACAAGGGACAATCATTGGCAGCTCCCTCCTTTAAAAAAAACTGGGGGGTATCCCTCGAAGTTGATTTCACACTGAGTTCTTTCAATGCAGAGAAAATCTTTGCTCTGTTTAAGAAGCTGCCAGGCACTGATTGAAGCGCCTGGTTACCATGCGAACCCCAGCCTGTTGCTGGGGTTACTGTCCCAAAGTGCTTCCTGGGTAATTTTCGAGGTCACTGGTTTGTGCACGCCTATGCGGTGCAGATGCGCCCACCCTCATTCAAGGCCCAGCAGGAGCTCTTTCATTAGGCCCAGTGAATGGCCTCATTCATCCCCTTCACCACAATTGGTCACGCTGCGTCTCCGCAGAGGGCCCAGGACAAACTTTTCTCTCTTTCCACCCCCTGATCTTCCATGCACCACCCACCTTAGTCATGCTTCAATTTTGTTTAGAGCCATGAGGTGGCTGGAGCTTCAGGGCTCATTTTTGACTGCGGACTAGGACGATGAAATACTGACATTGCTGTCTTTTTCATCTTTGAAACTTTAAAGGACACATTTCTACAAGTTAATAAAGTAGAATAAAGGGACATTATATAATTTTTTTATATTTGGTGAAACGTACTCTCAATGCTTGAATCTGGCAACAATGTAACATGTCCATAAAAAGAATAACCTTTTATATTTGCATATATTTTGAAGGTGCAGTATTTTTATGACTCATAACTACATGAATCCCTTTTTCCAAACTCCTATTTCTATCTCAGTGTTGCACAAAATCCCAGAAGATCTGTTCTAGAAGAACTCTGAGCCATTTCAACCCTAAGTTGCATCTCTCTCCACTCTCTCTCCTGTAACTGCAGTGCTTGGCCATGCTAGTGGCTCCTCTACACCATGCCTCTATTTAGTCCTCAAGCGAGTTTCAGCTCTGCCCTAGTGAGAAGTGACTAATTGTCTTGAGTTGTTAGTGTGCCTGGAATGAGCTCCACTCCAATCGCTGACAGGGGTGCGCAATAATTTTGTTACTCCCTTCCTCCTCTCCTCTCTCTCTTTCTCCTGTTTGCAGCAGATTTACCCCCACTGCTTCTCAACCTACTGAGCTGTAAAATTGAGTGGACGGCAGGCAGGATACAAAATGAGACCTGGCATCGTGGACACACTAACCTTGAGGAGGGCCACTGCTGCTGGCTGCACCTAAAGAGATGGAGACAGAACGTCAACCATATTGGAATGAGGACGGTTAAAATGAAGAGGGAGGAAAGTCCAAGGGTAAAGGGAAAGGTGGAGACCCTTTCTGAAAAGGAAAAGCAATATGACAGGCTTGGCAAAAGCAGGTCTTAATAAGCACGAGGATGGAAAAACACAACACATAGATGACAGGATGTCAACCACACAGAAAAAGGAGAAAGCATTATCATCCAAACGGACTTTGTCTATCCTTAAATTCCTTGTTCTTCCCCACTCCTTCAAGATATATTAGAGTATGTAATGTCTATCCCAGTGTACACCTCAGCTGCTGAGGTGCATATTATTCATACAACATTTGCAAATAGACATCATCATTCTGACAACATGGACATATTTTGTAAAAAAAAAAGTTAATTAAAAACTATCCTGGAACCTTTAATGTTATGTTTAAGCAGTTCCAACTAAACTATCCTCGGTAATGAAATCAACTTGTATAGTTGCTCTTGGAACGAATCTGGGCAATCAATTACTACGAATCACAAATATACTAGTTGCGGTTTAGATGTGAACAAATGGAGTCTCAGTCCCTTACAGATGATATTAGTGCTCTGAGCTGCTCCCTCTCCACGAGAGATTAAGCAGGTTTGTACTCTCCCAGGCGGGCAGCGCTCCCCCTCCAGGGTGCTGCACTATCATTTGCAGGAAAATTACTTCAGTAATGAAGAATCCAGGCCCATAAATCCTCATGGCCTCACCTTCCTTCGCCGCCCAAGTCTCACTGAACAGCCAGTAAAAAATCCCTTTAAAAAATTCATAGTGCAATTTTGCTCAAATCCCTCCCAGCAAGCACAATTATGGAACTTTCATCTCAATTGATTTATGTCCTGGGCTACAGGGGGAGGGGGTGACTGGGAGGGGGTGGGGTTGCGAAGGGGGAGAAAAACAAGTGGTAAATCATTGTTTTTAAAAGCAAAGGCATAAGGGCTTTTGTCACGTCCCCCTGCATGTGTTTTGTATTGCAGGAGATAGTTGGATAGAGAGGTGCGTGGATCGGGCGAGGAGGAAGTGGGAAGACAATGTCTGAAGGGTTTGAAAGCAGAACTGAAATGGCAGGAGGAGGAGGAGAAGGAGGGGGGAGATGGGGTGAAAGGAGCGGTATTCCACTTGATTAATAACACTAATCAAATTATACAGTGTTCCACTGTGCCCTGAAATCTGGGGCCATAATGTCCTCTAATGGCGAGGTTCATGGAGCTAAACTTCAGAGGGAAAACACGGCGCTGACTGCTGCATGCCTTAATGAAGGCAGTAAAACATCCATTTCCAGAAGCCATGAAATGAAAGGCAAGATTGTACTGTAGATGTGCACCCAGTGGCTCCCCCACTGCAAAAAAATGGAAGGCTGTTAACACAAAAGACAGTGTCGGAAAAAGAGAGAGAGAGAGAGAGAGAGAGAGAGAGAGAGAGAGAGAGAGAGAGAGATGCAAGGCTATAAGAAGAGAAATGAGGGGAGAATAACACAAGTGAAGAGATTTAAAGGGCAAGAACACCAAGAGTATTAGGATATAAAAAGAAAAAGGATGATGAAGTGAGGATGGAGAGACTGATTGGTGGATGCTCTCAGTGCTTTATTTCCAGAGAAGTTCTCTTCTGGCATGAAGACAATCTCTGTCTGCTGATTATGGATGAGCCAGCCTGGTTTACTATGTCTGTTATACTTAGTGCTGCTGACAGGAGCCACAATTCATCACTATTTAGTTGCTGATGCACCTAACCACAGCATCCTCCCCCTCATCTATCTCAATGCCACTCCATTAGAGTATTCCCTCTGTCCATCCGGGCATGCATTGTGTTGATCTATCCAACCATCTGTATTGCCATCCATCCATCCATCTGCTCGTCAGTCCGTCCATCATACATCTTCGCTACCATCCGTCCGTCTATACATCCATGCATCCATCCACCCATCTATCAAACCATCCAACCTTGGGAAAATATAAAGATCTGACACTTACAACAACATTGTTCTAACCTTAGCTGTCAGTTAGATGCTCAAGGTAAGCTATTAGATTATGTCTGGGCATTAAGTTATTCCAAAAGGCTGTATGACTTCTGCTGGCAGCGGCACTCTACATGTCTAACGTCAAGATCGAAGCATTACAAGTTAAGATCACTATTGACACAAAGTGCAGTCTTGCAGAAAAAGTTTGCAGCATTACAACAAACTTAGACTACAGACACTTATATTTATACAAAAGCATTATGGTTTGCATTTAATTTACTAAATTGCACATGTTACAAACAATCAAATCAGCCTTTGAATCTTGAATAAAGCAAATGTTGTTAGTAGTCCTTAGGGCAAAATTTCATCTGGAGAGCAAGGGGAAAAAAACAACAAAGCTGAGAAAACACAGATTGCTATTGTTATTATTATCATAATTACAGCTGTGCTTATCGTGCAAGCAGCCTCAATCAGGATAAAATACAGTTTCATTTGATGAAGCTTCCTGTTTTGACTGGCTTGAGTTTGGAAACCACACACTTGGCTGGTGTGCCAAAAACTCAATCAGGCACAATTACATAGCCATCAGATAGAAATGTAATTGATTTGAAAGCTGACATGAGATATAACTACATTACAGTGGAGGCACAGTGGGGAGCCTCCTTGGGGACAGGGCCTACGGGGAGCTCATTACAGCCAGGCTTTGAATTATTGAGTGCTATGGCAGTGACATTGAGGAACAGAGGCGGGCGATTGGCTGTAACAACTCAGCAAGTGTTTATCTCAACTTACAGCAACCTAAGACATCTGAAGGAGTGATCTGCCCGAGCATGAATATTGCAGGGCGAGAAGTTGTAATGGTTCATAACTGGAAGGGTTCAGGCCAAGATAAGAGTGTGCATGTGTGCACGTCATGGCGCCTATTTCCCCCTGAAATATTTGTATAGAGTGCAACTACAGATGCATGGCAACAAACCAGCTAGTCATCAGGTCACATATTTAGTGGCTTGGTTTGCATTTGCAGTGATGACATCACATGTCACCCCGTGTCACGATGAGAGCTGTGTTGACACAGCATGGTGCTTTGTGAAATTTACTTTCACTTAAGTAAAATCTGCTTGGCTGGTTTTAGTGTTGTCTAGTTTGGTTATTGGGAGCTTGCTGTTTAGGTTCATAGCTAGCAGGAAAACTAACAAAATGCCATACATGTGTTATAACCAAAACATTTTCATTTTTCCACCTTATTCTTAGCTTTACAGACACAAAGAGCTTAAATTAGGTGGCAACCTCCCTGGAGTGAGGTTTTAGTGTGGGGGAGTGAAGTAGCACATTTGCCTGACCCTGACCACCAGCCTACAGGCTTTCCCTGAGGTACTAGGGGGGACTATTGAGAGGATAAAGATATAAGTCAGTGCAGAAGGGCCTCGGCATCCCTGAGGAACCTAGTGACTGCCTACCTCTGGGAGAGCTATGCCCCCTAGGCTTCTGCCACTGATCTCTCTCTGTCTCTCTCATTCTTCTATCACTCTCCTCTCTCTCCTCACACAGGCCTCTTGTGAGCTTTCTCACAAAAAATGAGAACTCAATTAATTCAGGCGAAATGAGGACAAGAGAGGAGGAGGTCTGGGGAGCCCAGGGAGGCAGAGAATGAGCGAGAGAGGGAAGCCTGACAGAGCTGCTTGTCAATCTGTGGCCTGGAAACGGCAAACAGAGCATGAGGTGACTGTGCATGTGCATTAAGTCTTTAGCCAAGCTAATCCTGTCTGCAGTTTAAACATGGCTGATGAACGAACGTTCCTCATTACAGAGGGGGATGCCGGGTATATACACAGATCAGAAGGAGGCAGACAAAGAGAAAAGAGCAAGGCTGGAAGAGATGAAAACAGAAGACGTGATTAAAAACATGCTGACACTCCCTGACAATCCCCTGCATGTTGTTTATTACATGGATGCTGTGGGGTCTCACATGCTGGCCCTTTATTAGAGTCATAAGTCATCTCTTGAGTTGACAGTTACTATTATGACACCGAGGTGACTGGACTGGAGATCTTAACCTAGAATTACCACCTCTGCCAACCTGTCAAGTTGCAGTGTACATCAATGTCTGTCCAAACATACAGTCAAGACTAGTGTGTGTAAGTGCATCGTGTGTACGTTTATTGGGAGAAACAAATTGAGCAATAAAGTTGATTCTGATGGAACAAAGACTAATTGCATCACCGTGGCATAACCAGACCGTCCAATCGTTTCTTCACAGGCAGTCTACAGATGCGTAATTTCATCTCAGAGCAACAAAGGCTCTGATGGGCGGATCCTTCTCAGGCCAACCTATACCATCATGCACTGCCCTTCAGTGAGGAAACTGTTTTTCTAAGGCGGCAGCAACTGATGAGACACATGTAAAATAAACGAGGGGCATAAAAAATTTCTTGTCATGTCCGACTACAGCTCTGTTGCTAGGCGACAGAGGCAAGACAAGCTGGGGACTCAAATTGCAGAAATCCTTGCAAGACCACCGACTCATTTCGGTCTCGGCCTTCACAGGTTACATGGCTCAAAAATGCTGCCTACTTTGGTCCACCAATTAAGGCACAGCTAATGTTTGATGTAAGGCTGTTACTGCAAATAAGCTACAAAATCTAAAACATAGATGCTTCACACACACACACACACACACACACGTGTGCACACACACACGCGTGCACACACACACACACACACGTGTGCACACACACACACAGTTTCAAGGTGGGCACACAAGATAAGTGTCACCAAGTCTGACTACATATGAAGAATCTATGATCACAATCTTCCCTTCTCTTCTGCAGTCATGACAGTGAATAGTGACAATAGAAAATTGTTTTTGGTAGAACATGACACCGACTGAGGTTGACCTTTGACGTTAAGGTTACATAACTGATAGACATAAAGAGGAATTTTTTAAAGTTCACATTGACCTTGACTTTTGACCTTTAACCTCCAAATTCCAAGTGAGTGTTTGTGC